GTCACAAAAGGACTCTTACCAAGGTCCTTGGAGAAAGCAGGGGCAGCCATACTTGGAATGTGTAGAAATCTCTACTGTAGAGAAATAGCATTTCCAAAATCATGGGTAGCTAGATAGTGATGCCCAGTGGACATCCACGTATCTAGAAGTGAAACACCAGGACACTTTCGACACTGGTAGACGGTGCAGTGGTGACAGCCTGGGCTGTGAATCAGGCTGCCTGGGCTGTGGTCTGAGCCCCGTGCAGCACTGGCTTGGTGCGCTAGATGCTGCGTCCAATATCCTTGTGTTTTCACTTCCCCCATCTGTAAAGTGACACTGAGAACAGGTGCCCCTGTGCCACCATGACAATCACGGTTAGACACTGCCTACCCCACAGCCCTGCATGTTGTGGTAGGGGGCTCAGTAAACATTGGTGATTCCTATGTTATTGCGGTAAAATGCACGTAACATAAAGTTTAACATTTTGACCATTTAAGGGCACAGTTGAGAGCCGTCACATTCCTTCACGTTGTTGACTAACCATCACCGCCATCCGTCTCCAGAACATATTCCTCTGCCCCAACGGAAACCCACGTGTTAGTGATTGTGTGAATTTGTGGTTGTAGTATTTTACCCTAAAAGCAGCAACATGCTGCCTACCTTGGTCTGTTCCATCCACCTCCTGTGGGATTCCGGGGTGTTTGCGGTGAAGCGTGGACCTTCCCTGCGTGGACCTTCCCTGGATGTCGGTGCTGGGCAGGTCGGGTTCTAGGGCTGGCACTTGCTTGGCTTGAGTTGAGTCACGTTTCTTTTATAGCAAGAGATTCCGCTGTTGTTCCTCGTAGCCAAAGTGACCACAGGAGGCTCCAGGGGAGGGTCCTTCCTGCCTCTTCCAGCTCCTGGGGCCTCCAGGTGTCCCTGGGCTTGTGGCCGCGTCACTCCAGTCTCTGCCTCCGTCTCCACGTGGCTTCTCTGTGTCTGTGTCCCCTCTGCTGTCTCTTAGGAGGACACCTGTCATTGGATTTCAGGACCTCCCTAATCCAGGATGGTCTCATCTCAAGATCCTTAACTAATTTCCTCTGCAAAGATCTGTATTTCCAAATAAGGTCCCATTGACAAGTTCTGAGGGTCAGAACATGGACATCTCTTTTTGGGGGACCATAGTTCAATCCACTACAACTGTATCCAGTTCCTTCTGGCGGCTGTAGGGGAGGCTCCTTCCTGCCTCTTCCGGCTCCTGGGGGCTCCAGGCGTCCCTGGGCTTGTGGCCGCGTCACTCCAGTCTCTGCCTCCGTCTCCACGTGGCTTCTCCTCTGTGTCTGTGTCTCCTCTGCCGTCTCTTATAGGGACATTGCTCAGTGGATTTAGGACCGTCTCTAATCCAGGATGGTCTCAACTTGATCCTATCTGAAAAGACCCCATTTTCAAATAAGGTCCTGTTCACAGGTTCCAGGGGTGAGGACTTGCGCCTGTCTTTTTGGAGATGCACTTCAACCCACAGTCATGATCTCTCCCTTCCTTTTTCTCTTGCATCAGCAGTTGGATTACCTAAAATTAATACTGATGACAATCATGTATCCAAATCAGTTTTCATTTATGCCTGATTACTCCACCGGGGATAACGAGCTTGCATATTGTTTAGAGATGCCATCTCTGTGCTTTCTCGTAAGTCTTCTTTGGGGACGGCACAGATTCCTTCCAGATAGTCTCCCTTTTTATGGTTTGTGGCTCCTGAGTGATGTCCTAAAGGGGAGAATATGAGACAGCGTAAGCTGACATAA